TTTTTCTAAATGTTGTATATAGTTTGAATCCTTAATTTTTATGGATTTAGTTAAAGCAGTTTAATTTAATTTAAAAAATTTGTACTTGAAAATCATTGCGAATAATAAAAAAATCACCAAGTGCTTTTTTGAGTCACTGTATTTGTCTATAATAACTCGAGTTGAAGTTTTTCAAATTATGAAGTTTCGTTGTTGCCTTTAGTTTCATCACTTCCGCTTTGAAGGAAACTGCGAATATGCCAATAATATAACTCAAATTCCGTATAATTAGTTAAATAACAAGTTCCTTAAAAACAATTTTAATTCCTATGGAAATAACTAAAAAAATAAAAGCCTATAATTTTAATTAAATTAAATAAAAAATAACAAAGCTATAGTTTTTATTAAAATAACTATAAAAAATTTATTGGTAAATATTTTCCAGATTTGGTAGATTTTTTTCAAGTGGATGGTAAATATATTTTTTCGTCAGTGGCAACCCTGATCCAGAGTACGAAAATAAACTGTACAAAACAATTCCCATTTGCTCATCGATCATCATATCATTTGTGGTTTTGTACAGTTTTGTACATAGTCAGAAACAAATTGTAAGATTCACTGTCATTTTCCGCAACGAGAAACGTTTGCTTTTCATTTGTGACAATTGTACCATAGGGTACGTTTTATAGGTATGCAAACGTTTCAATTACGTAAAAAATAGTTTTTTCTGTAAATTTTCATATCCAATTCAATTAAAAAACAGTTTTATTTTTTATATTCATTGCAGCCACTCGTTTTGTATTTAGTTATTGCATATGTGTACATACATACATAAATTTTTCTCTGCACGATTCATTTCGTTTGTTGTTTCGACTGTTACTACTAAACTACTGTAGTGTACTATCGCCAAAGTGAACTCAGCCGTTTTGTTTTCGTATTGTACCGAACTGTTGAAGTAATAAACGAAACGAAATAGTAACGTACAATATGGTTTATTTTCGTACCCTGCTTATATCGCACGCATTCCTTTTGTGTTCACTATTACATTTTGCCACTGCACACTTCGTTTTGCTTTGTAATGTCTCAATAATTGTTTAAAACCACGCAGAAATATTAACACACAAATATTAAAATTGTAATTTGGTTTTTTCGTATGCTTACAATCAACAATTGCACCAAGATGACGTCACGCTCACAGCTGATTCTGTCAAAATCACAAAGAGCGGATTAACGGTACCGCGATTGGCGCAATCTCAATTTCTCTCAATCGTGCCCTGAGGCATGATTTGGGAGCAGTAAACGAGATTTGTCGGTTTTGTACTCCTGTATTGCTCGCTTAGGAGCGTAATGAGAGATCTCCTAAGCGAGCAATAAAAGAATGCTCCCTGAGTCATGATTTGGGAGCAATAAGCGAGATTTGTAGGTTTTTTACTCTGTTATTGCTCGCTTAGGAGCAAAAACTGATGTCTCCTAAGCGAGCAATGCAAGAGTACTCCTTTTGATTGATAGGGGAGCTATACACACCTCTTTCAAATAATTTTGTAGAAAAATTTATTATGAAGAAAACAATACAAATAATTTAGGTAAAATTGCTAAAGGAGTGAATCGTTTTGGTGCAAAATTTCGGATAAAATATATTACATCAAACGAGCAATTTGAAAAAAAAGTAAACATNACACACCTCTTTCAAATAATTTTGTAGAAAAATTTATTATGAAGAAAACAATACAAATAATTTAGGTAAAATTGCTAAAGGAGTGAATCGTTTTGGTGCAAAATTTCGGATAAAATATATTACATCAAACGAGCAATTTGAAAAAAATGTTAACATTTTTTTTTTTATATTTTAATCTTCAATCGTAACCATTTTTTAGGCTTTCACAAAATAAGAAATCGTGTAAAACTCTTCGTCAACGTGAAAAATTAAAAAAATGGGTATGTAGATACTATCAGATATGTAGATTCTGAACAGGAACTCCCTGGGAGGTTTCTCTCTTTTCCCTTTCCTCTTATCATAAATAAAAATTCCCTGCGGATTTTTTATATTAAATGGCGGAGTTGAGCTGTCAAAAAAGTATCAAACAGCTCTTGCGAAGTATGAATTTTCTCCTTCCAAATTTTCGGGGAAAATGCTACTTCCTGCGACTTAATTATTGGAGGATTTCTTTCTCGGGAGAAACAAATTCCCGGAGAACAAACTCCCTGGGAGTATTCAGAATTGGGCTGATACAGCCCATGTATGTATGTATATAGCATAACTACTTTGCTAATTTGTTAATAGAGACTCGAGTGGATGATTTAATACTATTATTTATTAAGAAATAATTACTAAGCAATATTTTAATGTACAAAGTATCCGAATGAGTAAATTTAAGACTGTTCGACGTTGAGCGCTAGGTGTCTGGTCCGTTCACCACCGTAGTTCGAGAAGAAAAGGAAAGAGAGTAGACTATGCGTGGTATGAGTATCTGTTTTCTACGGTGACGTTGTGGGTAAGGATGTGCGCTCTGTGTTGGTAAGTGTTCTAAGAAGTGTTGGTAAGAATTTGTGGTGTATTTGAAGTTAGAAATGGCGTGGTTGCCACGTCCCCTCCCCTCCCAGTGTCTTGGTTGGTAGGGTCATGGCACGACTTTTTTGTTTGGTTCTTGGTTGGCGTTGGCTGACATCTGTGTTTGTGTATGTGATTGCTGATAGTCGGGGACATCAACGTAGGCGGTCTTCAACATGTCGGTGGAGACTGTTTTGTCTGCTTCATTAATTTTGACTTCGTAGACTTTGTCATCGATCCGTCTTACGACCTCATGGGGCCCTGTATATGGTTGCTCCAATGGTTTTTTGATGGAGTCTACGCGTTTGAAAACGTGGGTGCACGTGGCGAGGTCTTTGAGGATGAACATTTTTGGTTTACTGTGATGAGCTGTTGGGGTTGGCGTGACCTCTCGAATATGTTGCCGGAATTCTCTTATGAACGCCTGAGGGTCTGCAGGGGTGCTTTCAGAAACGAAGAATTCTCCAGGTAGGCGTAGGGGTATCCCAAAGAGCATCTCAGCAGGAGAGGCTTTCATATCTGGTTTGTACGTAGCCCGAAGTCCAAGTAAGACGGTTGGTAACAGCTCTGGCCAGGGTATTTGGGCGTTACACAAGGGCAGCCTTGAGCGCACGGTGCCATCGCTCTACCATGCCGTTAGACTGGGGGTGGTACGGTGTTGTCCTGATGCGTTTGGTTCCCAGTAGTCGAGAGAGTGATGAAAAGAGAGCTGATTCAAATTGTAGTCCTCTGTCCGTGTTGATCGTGAGCGGAGTGCCAAATTGACAAACCCATTGTGAATAAAATGCTGATGCGATAGTGTCGGCCGTGATTTTGAGCGGAATAGCGACGGCCATCTGCTGAATCTGTCAATGACTGTCAAACAGTAGCGGAAATCTCCAATTTTTGGCACATCTATGAGGTCCAGGTGAATATGTTCGAAGCGATTATCTGGGATGTCAATGTGACTCGGTGTGGTGCGATGTACTTTCGATCGTTGGCATGGAATGCATTGCCTGGCCCACAAGAGTGCATCTTTCCTGACGCCCTGCCAGACGAACCGTTCCCGAAGTTGCTTTGCCGTGGATCTGCCGCTGGGGTGTGAAAGACCGTGGATTGTATTGAAGGCCTCACGCCTTATGGAGGCTGGGATGTACGGTCGTACCACGTTGTTCGTGATGTTGCAGTATATGTCGTGGCCTTCAATATTGAGCAGATGAAACTTAAGCGATGGGTTATGTTGCAGAATGGAAAGCTCGTCATCATCTTGTTGTGCCTCAGCAATGGTTTTTGCGTCCAGCCTGGTTGGCATGTTGATGGTGTTGATTCTCGACAGGGCATCAGCAACGACATTCTCAGATCCCTTAGTGTGGACGATCTCCGTGGAAAATTGTGAGATGTAGTCGAGTTGGCGGAGTTGACGTGGTGATGCTTTGTCAGCATGTTGGGAGAATGCGTAGATGAGCGGTTTCTATGGTGAAGCTTCGCCCCTCAAGAATGTGTCTGAAGAATTTGATAGATGCGAAGACGGCCAGGAGTTCGCGGTCATAAGTTCTGTACCTGGTCTCTGCTGGGCTGAGTTTGCGCGAGAAGAAGGCTAGTGGTAGCCAGGTTCTCCCTTGAAGCTGTTCGAGTGCACCCCCAATCGCCGTATCTGATGCATCTGTTCTTAGCGAGAGCTGGGCGGTTGGTGTGAGGAAGGTCATGCGGGTGGCGTGGATGATGCTATGTTTGCAGTTTCCCATGCTTCCTCAACAGCTGGTGTCCAGGGGATCTTGCGCTTATAATTTTTTTGCGTTTGAGGAGGTCGGTGAGCGGTCCTTGCATTTTTGCTGCTTCCGCAATGGACTTGCGATAATAGTTTATGACGCCGAGGAAGCGACGAAGATCGTTGATGGTCTCGGGTCTTGGATAGTCGGCAATCGCCTGGGTTCGTTCAGCTGGTGTAGCCAAGGTAGATGACCTCTGGTTTGCCAAATTGATACTTCTTGGGATTGATGGTCAGACGATTTGCCCGAAGAATGTCGAAGACAGCAGTCACGTGCTGAAGGTGTTCCTTGTGAGACCGAGAGAAGATTATCAGGTCATCTATGAAGCATCCTACGAAGTCCAGATCCCGGAGGAGGTTGTCCATGTGTCGCTGGAAGGTCTACGTGACGTTTGGTAGGCCCGGAGGCATGCCCAGAAACTCGTATAGTCCGAATGGTGTGGTCACAGCAGTCTTGGGTATGTCAGCTTGGGCGACTGGTATTTGGTGGTAGGCCCGAACAAGATCGATGGTTGTGAAGACGGTGGACCCGTGTAGGCGTTGGAGGATGTCGCCGTGGGGTACTGGATTCCGATCTGGGATAGTTTGGGCGTTCAGTTTTCTGTAGTCGCCAGTGGTGCGCCACCCTCCAAGTTTTTTGGGAACCATGTGGATTGGACTCGCCCTCTGACTGCTGGACGGGCGGATGACACCGTGGTGTAGTAACAGGTCAAAGTCATCTTTGGCAATTTTTAGTTTCTCGCCAGTGAGACGCCGTGGACGCTCGAATACTGGTGGTCCAGTGGTCTCGATGTGATGAGCAGTTGCACTGTTCGTGTCAGTGATAGGGCTGGTATTTGGTCTCGTGATGTCAATAAAGCGATTGAGGAGCTCTAGATAGCTGGCATCAATGTCATCTGAGCAGATGGACTGGTTGATGGTAGAGATGCTGTGTATGATGGCCTCAGATAGTTGACCCTTCGTGGTGAGTGATGTGGCTGAGTCAATAAGACGGTGCCCCCTCAAGTCCAACAGAAGTGCGAAGTGAGCAAGGAAATCTGCACCGATGATGGCTGACTTGACATCTGCTATTATGAAGGACCAACTAAACCTTCGACGGAGATTGAACTCGAGTTACAACACTTTCTGGCCGTAGGTGCGTATGATAGTACCATTGGCAGCGTATAATGCGAGCTCATCTTGTTTGAGCTGGTGATTAATGGCGGTCTTCGGTACCAGGGAGATTAGTGATCTTGAATCAACGTGTTATCATGTATGTGTAGGCGATGGATGTTCTTTTGAAGGCGTTGTGTTGGTAGAAATGCTGTCGCCGGCCGCCTGAATGGTCGACAGCGAAAGCAGTTTCCCGAGTTGGCTTTGAAGGTACACGGTAACGCGCAGCGCTTGGCCTTTTCTCCATGCTTGCGATGGTAGAAACACAGCTTGGCGGGCGCCTCTCTAGCGTTTGAGCGTTGCTGACCGCGACCACGCGATGCGCGGTGTGTAGGGTTCTGAGTGAGAGTCTACGTGAGCTATTTGGTGCAGGTAGCGAGGTCGACAATGGCGAGTTTCATGCTGGTAATGTCCTTGGCCAGGCTTGTGAGGATGGTATCCGCGAGCCTGCGGTCTGCTACTGCATGGCTTGGGCTGGTGTACGTGGCCATTAAGCCCGTGCTAGTTTGATTTTCCATTAGCTCGTCAGCGATCTCTGCCTGTTCTTCAAGTGTTGTATTTCTAAGGAGCTTTATGCACCTGACGATTGCTGATGGTAGCAGTGCGAGCCACCTGACCCGGAGTATGTCTCCTGTTGCAGAGCTGCCTGTGAAGATTTTTAGCTGACGTAAAAGCTGATTGGGCTTCTTGTCCTCCAACTGTATTTCAGTGAGTGCTCGATGCAGTTGACGATCTGTGGATTCGGTGAATCGTTTTATTATTTCGTCTTTGAATTTAGCATACTTATTATTTTCAGGCGGATTGTGTAGGAAATCGGCCATCTGCAGTATGGAGTCCGTATCCAACGACTAGGTTGTACTTGGCCAGATCCGATGCGATACGGTTGCTGTGAAACACGGCTTCGGCTTGGATGAACCATAGTCTGGGTTGGTTTTTCCAGAGCGGTGGTACCTTGTAGCTGGACACAGCTTCCACAGCGGCTGGTGCCGTGGGTGCAGCTGCTTGTTGCCCTGGAATAGACGATTGACCGTGGATTGTGCTCATGTTTGTTTCAGGCGGTGGAGAAACGTCCAACAACGTTTTACCCAATGAATCAGACGCGTGGCTGTCTGAAAGCTTAGTGGTGTATGGTTCAACGGCATATCGCGCTAGTGCGAGGTGAAACACCACGTTAACACGGATTACCCTTGGCTTTGACTCTTGTACAGTTGTGGTCCTTCGCGGTGTTATTCGTATCACGAAATGCAGTGAAAATCGCGATGAGACTTTGGCGTTTCGCTACACGTGTGGGCGTTGTGTCGAACGAGTCAAACTAAATTTATTAATCCACTCCCATCACGTCGGGGCCACCAATTATAGCATAACTACTTTGATAATTTGTTAATAGAGACTCGAGTTGATGATTTAATACTATTATTTATTAAGAAATAATTACTAAGCAATATTTTAATGTACAAAGTATCCGAATGAGTAAATTTAAGACTGTTCGACGTTGAGCGCTAGGTGTCTGGTTCGTTCACCACCGTAGTTCGAGAAGAAAAGGAAAGAGAGTAGACTGTGCGTGGTATGAGCAGGGATGCTGTTTGGATCTAAATAGATCCAATTGGATACATTTTCAGGCGAATTTTTGCGTGATACTTATTTTTTCCGATCAGTATAAATGTGGATACTTTTTAAATAGGGCAAAATTTTATATTTTCTATAAAGTTTTTTTCGTTCAAAAATCGGTTTTCATTAAAGATGGTAGAAAGCATTACGTTTTCTAAATGCATTAAAAATCGCTACTTAAGCGTGAAGTTAAAGCATTTTATTTTTTGTGAACGAAGCAATGAACATATGAAGATATCTCACCAAAATAGGTATAAGCACAATTGTTTTAATTAGCTAAAAAGGATGCTTTAAGCAAGATCTTAATATACATATATATAAAGTAAATATATACTTTTTCTGTAGTAATCTCTTTCATATCATATATTTTCATTTGTTAATTTAAAAAGAAAGAAGATCTCAATGTAGTTTAAAATACACTGTTAAAGACTAAATTTGATTTATTTAAGGAAATTTTTATGAATTTTACTGAAAAGGCTCGAAATACACTCTGAAAACTTTTGTTTATTTGCGCATATTAAGAGAGGTAACCAGTTTTCTCTTTTAATGTGTAAAAATTTGCACACCGTGTAGTAAAATTAAACATTGCCTGTTTACTTTTACATACCAAATTTGTCGCGAAGAGTAAAATTACACATAAAATGTTTAAAATAGAGTAAATGTGAGCCCCTAATGTTCATTATTAGTAGGAAATGTATTTTTAGTTTGAAAATTTTTAATTTTTTTTTTTAGATACTTTTCAGTAGTAGTTTTACATGCTCTTTCTACAGCGTACTTACTATTTATTATACTTACTTTGTAAAATATTAAGCACAAAAAGTGTACTTTATAAATTGAAATTACAAATGTTTGATTTTATGAAAAATCAAAATATATATACATGTATTCTAAGTCCTTAGGATGGGCTAAATTATGTCTTTTTCTTGAAATTTTCTTACAAATTATGAGATATATACGTAAAAAAAGAAAATTGGATACATTTGGATACTTTTTTGGCTTGGACAGTGATACATATTCTTGAGACGGCGCAGCAACACTGGGTATGAGTATCTGTTTTCTACGGTGACGTTGTGGGTAAGGATGTGCGCTCTGTGTTGGTAAGTGTTCTGTGTTGGTAAGAATTTAGGAGTGTTCGCTATGCACAAAATTTGTACAAGTTGGTACCAATTGTTACCAAATCGTGTTCGTTTAGCCAAAAACCCAGTAAAACTTGCATGGAGAGACAATTCACAATTCTGACATTTCATTTGGAGGGGAAGTTGCAAGTTCGTGCTGGGAAAACTTTTGCCAGTAAGAATTTGCAAGCAGGATTGTGGCACACGGTTGCATTTTTATCAACATTAATTTGAATCAACAAGTTCGTTAAATTTAAAAATGAACAATCTTGTTGCGATTTACTAATGAAAGAAGTAGGTAAATATTCGTGTATTCAATTGATTTAATTAATTCCAAACATTTGAAAGGTACTCGGCTGAAAAAGCTGTATTCGTAATCGGAACGCACTCGACACCACTGTCGATATAGGAAATCCGACAGTGACTTCCACAAAGAAATTGAAGCGTATGTTGAAGAAAGTTAGAATAAGAAGAAATATACGTATAGGTCCTGTTTTGGTTTCTACCTGAAATAATTAAAAAAAATTATTATGCTCGAAATGCAACCGTGGACGCCAGCTGGCAGCGAAGCTTGCAAATGTTTGCTAATTCCTGTTCGCGCAAAACTTAGTAAGTTTCTCTCTTTGGGAAAAATATTAATGACTTGAAACATATCATAAAAACTAGCAA